GCAACTATATAGCTGCTTATTGATCTCACAGAAGTTTACAGAAGAAAAAATACACTGCAATTATTGAGGAATGCAGTCCAAGGACAATGTGCATCCTTCAGTTACCCAGAGAGATGGACATCCCTGGCAAAGTTCTTTTCTGAAGAGGTTTTTATTTGCTTTGGTTGTACTTTGCATGTCAGCAGGTCACATTTTCCTTGATTTAAGGAATTATCTTTCAATTCTTTTTGAAGAAGTTGCCTTTGGGGATGGAAAAAGGGTTTTACTGTCCCTGGAAACTGTATCAGCTGCTCCTCCGGGTTTTTGTGCTCAGATGTACTGACAAGAGGCTGTAATGTCCTCATGGAGCAAAAGGCACAGCATAAACACAGATACTGTGCTTCCACATGAACAGTAATTTTGGCAGGACATGCTGCAGAAGTGAAGGAAAAAACCCACCTTTTGAAAAGTAAGGAGAAGGGCTAATGCAAAAGTCTCTCAGGTCTGCACAGTTCCCGTCTTCACGTCTATAAAACAGAGATAATTGTTGTTAATGGCTCATCAAAAAGTAAAAAAATATTTACTTTATTTAAAGTAAAAAAATTTGTGTAGTGGGTTGACCCTGGCCAGATACCAGGTACCCACTAAAGCCAGTCTCTCACTCTCCTTATGCAACTGGACAGAGGAGAGAGAAAAAAACCAGCTAAGGACTCATGAGTAGAGATAAGAGCTGGGAGAGGTCAGTGACTGATTACATTCACAGGTAAAACAGGCTCAAAGTGGAGATAGTACTTAAATTTATTACTAACAGGATAAGAGCCAAAGAGGGAGAAATAAAACAATATTAAAAACACCTTCCCCCCGCCCCTTCTTCCTTCCATGTTCTTCTCCCTCCTCCCCCCAGCAGTGCAGGGGGACGAGGAATGGGGGTTACAGTCCGTTGTTGTTTCTGCTACTGCTCAGAGAGAGGAGTCCTTCCTCTGCTCCTGTGGGGTCCCTCCAAAGGGAAACAGTCTTTGATGGACTTCTCCAACGTGAGTCCATCCCTGGGGCAACAGTTCTTCCCAAACTGCTGTCCCGTGGGTCACTCCTCCATGGGGTGCAGTCCTTCATGAATGAGCTGTACCGATGTGGGTCCCCCACAGGGGCCACAAGTCCTATCCAGGAAAAACCTACTCCAGTGTAGGCTTCCCTCTCCATGGGCTACAGGTCCCTGGCAGGACCCTGCTCCATTCTGGGCCTCCCACAGCCTCCTTCATGCATCCACTTGCTCCAGTATGGGCTCCTCCATGGGCTGCAGGTGGGTCTCTGCACCCCGAGGGTCCTCCACGGGCTGCAGGGGCCTCAGCTCCAGTGCCTGGAGCACCTCCTGCCCCTCCTTCTGCACTGACCTTGATGTCTACTTTGTTGTTCCCATGTTCTCATTCTGCTCTTCCCTGGCTGGAATTTCTCCTGCGCAACAGTCTTCTGTTCTTAAATATGTGATCACAGAGGCGTTACTGTCACTCCTGATTGGCTTGGCCTTGGCCAGTGGCAGGAAGTCCGTCCTGGAGCCAGCTGGCATTGGCTCTGCTGGACAGGGGAAGCTTCTAGCAGCTTCTAAGAGAAGCCACCCCTGTAGTCCCCCCCTCCACCAAAACCCAGCCACAGAAAACCACTACAACTTGTGATTCAAAGCAGAAGGTTACAAAGTGCCACTCTAGCCTTAACATGTCTGTTAAAAGTTTTTATTGAATCAGACAAAGTTTTTGCCTGGTTTTAGAGTTATGACTAGTTTAACAGCTATAACATTTAACTGCAAATTTTAATTGTATAAACTTTCACTGCTGGGTAATTTTTCATGAACTACCTCAGAGACCATTTCAGAGGGAACACAGAGGTCAATATAATAATACTTGGCTGAACAGGCTCCTCATATGAAAACTCAGAGAGGCTAAGGTTGTCATAAGAAAAATAGGACCTGAGATCATGTTTGATTGTCTAATTAGGAATTACTCCATTCTGCAATTCTGATTATATGTACTGTTGTAAAAGATTTTTATGTTATTATCCGTCTCTCTGTGTTTTCACACTTGTTTAACAAGGTCTTTCTTCCAAGAATATTAACCACTATCTTCCAAAGGAAAAGCAAATTTTTGTTTTTTTGTTCCCTAACAATTAAAAACAAAAGAGAATAAATAAATCTGTAGAAATGCCAGATGCAAAAGGCAAATAAAAATAAATGTGAGTTCTGTCAAATACCTCAGGAAACAAAATCACATTGTCTATAAAAAAACCCATAATTATCCCACAGAAAAAAAACAGAAAGGTTTCAGGAGAGGATATTGTTGCAACAGTGGTGCACAGAATTATAAGCTTTCAAGCTTCCTACACTTCATGGGCAATAACACTTTTGAACTGTAATGTTGGTTCACAGATATTTTAAAAATAAATAAATAAATAAATAAATAAATAAATTAATTAATAAAAGAAGCCCCCAAAACTCCAAAACTCTTCTACTTCAACATTTACTAAGAGCCTGAAAAGAACAGGTGTGTAGCTTCATCAGAGAGGGTCTGAGAGAGAGGCTCTATTCAGAACTGGGAAAGATGAACTTTAAAATGTGTTTCTAATGAGAGGAGTAATGCTCTACAGATTTAAGCTGCTAAACTCAGGTGTAGTACATGTGTAACCTATAAATACTGAGATTTTTTAGTTGGAAGGGAAGTTACTCAAAGTTAATAAGACTGTCTCCAGGAATGGAAATTAATTTTATAGCACGCAGAAAAGCAAAAGTGACGTCCCACAAGACCTTTGTAACTGAGACCTTAGTCCATTAAGAACTCTATATAAACCCTTTGCAAAACTTTATGGAGTAATTCAATAGGAAGTGTTGGTTTTCTTCAAAACTAAAGCTTCTTTGTTTAGGTATAAGACTGTTTAAAAAACATATTCTTAGGAGAGAGTTTTTTTGTAAACATGGCTCATACGTATTCAGAAAATAATTGACCTGTAACCCATAGCTTCTGAGTCTGAGAATATTAATTTAAAAGTTGTAGGTTCATATCAAGAAGCTTGATTCTGTTCCATTAGTGCCGACTCTATTGTAGCCAGTATATTTTCTTTTTCCTGGTGATAGGTTTTTATGTTGTGCAGACAGCAGTCTCCAAGCACAGAGCTGCTGTCCTGCTCCTTCCACAGTAAAATTTTTATCACCATCTCTTTTCCTGTTGTTTTTCTGTGTACGGCCAAAATAAAATATAGATTAAATTATGAAGATGTCAGAGGTAGAAAAGGTCTGTCCCTTCGTTTCAACTTCTGTGATTATAAATTGGTAGACCAAGACAGGAAAACAAGTGGTGCAGTAAATAGAGATTTCTAATCTGATCTCCAGTTTCACAGTTTTGTCAAAGTAGAATAATTATGTCCCATGAACTTAGTGTTTAACTGGACTTGGTCTATGCATGGTTACTGAAAAAAAGGACTTAGGAATTTCAGGTACATAAAGCTCTCCTGGCAACCTTCACCCTGCAACACAGAAAGATTTGCAGGCAGCTGCTGCTGAATAGAATATATGCCAGTTAATAAAATGAAAATATATAGATTAATTAAAAAAATACTATATGGTGAATAAAATGCATTACCAAATAAAATATGGTGAATAAAATAAGACTTCAACACCACCTGAGTTCAACGTCACCTCTCTTTTTACTGGAACAAAAATTACATTTTTTTTAACTCATTTGTTATACCCTATATTGCATTTTGTATTCAGAATATTTTTTTGAAGATCATGACAATGGTTTTGGTCTGATCCTGATTTTGTTTTCATTTTTTTTTGCTACCTGCAAAGTGATATGTTGTACTCATACACCTGTGAGTACTCATGGAAGAATTTCAGTACACCCAACATTTTGAGCACAAGCAATCTCCAATCTTCCAGCCTGAAAAGTCTCTGCACTCTGGCAGCTCTCCTCAGCCACAAAGCCTCACTGATGCTCTCTATTATCCAAGACTAAAAAACTCCAGTTACTGAGTTCTGCCCCATAAAACAAGTTGAACACAACATCTTCCATTGCACACAATGCAGAATAATATTAAAACTACATTTAATTAGCATAGTAAATGAATTAAACAGGACAACTTCTAGACAGAGACACTGTGCTGAGTCATGGCCTGTTTAATGAGAAAACATTACTATGCAATTAGTATTTTCAAAAGGCTGTTGTCCTGGCAAGGTAAATCAGTTTGACACTACCATATTCCCTGATCTTGGGACATCGGTAAATACATTATTTTCTTTTCCCTGTCAGGGAATTACAGAAAAGAAACTGGAGATTCGGAGTGTGTAGTTGTAGAGTAATTATTTCCTGCATTACTTGGCTAGGAAACAACAGACATGAGGTAACTATAATTATGTTATTCTGTCAAGAAATAACAGAATAAAATCCCCATGGATTTTTTAATTATTTTTCCATGGCTATCTTGGTAGGTGAACTGAAAGCATATTTTTCATTCAAACAAACCACTTCTTCCATCTGGGAAAAAAAATAAAAAATATCACAGACTGAAACTTAGAAATAGAGTTTAATTCTTCCTTGAGCTTATTAATTGGAAACTTGTTTTGAGTCTTGAATTTCTTTTTGCAAATGTATTATTTGCTGGAATACATTTCCAACAGAGGGCAGAGGGCAGATTTAGATTACATGTAAGGAAGAAATTCTTCCCTGTGAGGGTGGGGAGGCCCTGGCACAGGTTGCCCAGAGAAGCTGTGGCTACCCCGTCCCTGGAAGTGTTCAAGACCAGGTTGGATGGGGCTTGGAGCAACCTGGTCTATCAAAAGGTGTCTCTGCCCATCACAGAAGGATGGAACTAGATTGTGTTTAAGGCCCCTTCCAGCCCAAACCATTCTATTATTCTATGGTTCTTTGATGAGGAAGGCATAACCACAGCAGTGGAGGATGCTACCAGGGTCGTCCCAGTCCCTGCAGCTTTCCAGGTGAAGCAGCAGCCCAGAAGAAGTGACGTGCAACAAGAACTGACACGTGTGTCTGGCTCCTGGCAGAGCTGGCACATGAGGTGACTCAGTCTATTCCCAGAGTGATACCTTTAAAAAAAGCTGCTGCTGGGTCCCCTTTTTACTCTGACTGTAAGCTGCTGGTGGCTGCCAACCTGGTCAACTGTGTGTTCGTGCAGTGAACTTAAAGCATGGTCATTTCATGGTAAGTATTCAAGGTGGAATACTTTCTTCTAAGTGCAGTTAAAAATTCTAGGGTATTCTAATAAATGAAAGTATATTTTTCAAAGTTTGTGAGAGGAATGGGAAAGAAATACAGAAACATTAACTTATATTTATTCGATGTGACATATCACATTTCTCTGAGTAAAAAGAGCTGCATTTCATAAAAACCTTACAAAGGGATTGAAATGCAATGTGACTCCGTGTTAGAGATGCATATCCCTTGTCTGAATGTGGGACATGATCGTAGAAGAAATGGATTCACCTCACTGTTTGTATAAACCTAACTGAATGTTAGGTATATTTTGCTGTAACAATTTTTCTTCCCAGATAACCATGTATATTCGTATTAAAAAAAAAGCTCTATAAGGTTCTTTCATTAAAATGTTCTGATTTTATTGGTAACAATGAAAGAAAAGTTCTGGACTCACTGATTATGGGAAACCAAGACCTGAGATTTACATGGTTCTTTAACTTGGACAACTCTTTAGTTGCCATTATTTCTCTACCTTTTCTTCATTATCATTTTGGCCAAGAAATGTGTTTCTAAATGCATCAATGAAAGGGGAGGATGTTGCCAAATACATGTCCCTGTGGCTTATCTTTTCTTTCCTCTCCTTTCTTTTTCCTAAACAGGAACATTGTCGCTGATGTTGTTGTTGCTGTTACTTAGTTTCCCAGTATCATAACATGCTAAACATTCAACCCCTGCAAGTTTCCCATAAGATGCCATTTAATCTTAAAGATGCGTGCCGCTTAGAAATTTACTTTCCTGAATTCTCTTTTAACTTCCTTTGTAAGACCTTTGGAGGCTAAACCTCTATCTCTGCTGGAAGGATAATACAGCAGGGCTCAAGCAAAAACATTGACATTTGAAGTCATTTGTCTATTTAATAGACAACAAATCTCAATAGCTACGGTATGGTTAAAAGCTCTTATGAGGGAAATTCTCTTAGAATCTGTAGGATTCTGATCTACATCTTTTCTCTGACCCTTTGCTTTGCTTCAAACATTTCCTAGGATACAGATGCAATGGGTGCAATGTGAAGTGGGGCTTGTGGTAAGCTGTCAATATCCCAGGTTCCTCAGTGTGGTTTAGTGATGGAGACTTCTTTCTTCTCAGCCTTGGGTCCACTAGGGCTTATTTTTGTGCTTATCAGTTTCTTAGCAAAATCTGCTTGGACTTTTGGTTGGTAACTTTTTCTATTGGTTCCCAGTAGTTCAATCTTCCTGATTCTGTTTGTCATTGCCAAAACTGGCTTTACCTAGAACACATGAGACTGTGCCCCTCTGGTGACCACTATGATCTATGTGTAAAGGCCTTTGGTCCCATCTCTGCACTCTGACACACAACGTCTTAACGTACAGGCACAGACAGTTCAATCCACACAGAACAACTACTTGTTATAATTATAAACCAAGGAATACCTAAACCAAATAGAGTTCACAGTTACCTTGAAAAATGTGAAAAAGCTTAAAAAAGCTTAAAAAATTTTTAATAGCTTAAAAAGCTGAAACAGCTCAGGCCACAAAAAAGCCAGGGTGTCCTGAGACCCCGCTCTGCCAAAAGTTGTGTTTATTGGGCTGCAGTTTCATATCCAATAAGCAGGAGGGCATGTCCCTTATAAGTCCTGGATCAGAATAACAGAGAATCGAATCATGTGAGAAATACCTTTCATCATTTTACTTGGACCTGCTGGGGTTTTTTTGTGCTAGTTTGTGGGTTTTTGTTATTCTTTTTTTTTTTTTTTTTTTTAAAGAGGAGAAAAATAGCATTCCCCACACTGAAAATAAACGTCATACATTAATTATTAGTGTACCTGCCTACTGTGAAGTTTAGTGAAGTCACAGAGAAATATTGCACAATAACACTTGTTTATTTCTAAATATGGTACCAGCTCTGGAGACTGAAGGAAAATTATTGAATGAGAAACTTCTTTGAAACATGGCAAATATCTGCTCCTGCAAATTTAACCTCCACAGCCTCTCAGCCTTTTTCATTGCTAATTATCCAAATTCATCTAAGCTGCTCCTTTCCCATAAGTTGTCTTGGTCTTACAAAAAGCAAGCTTATTATTACAGTCATTTCAGTGGCATCAGACAAGAGTAAGTTGGAGACTTTATTGTGTTCATTGTAGTCACGGAAGCTTATGTTGACACCTCCATTCTTGGGATTTGCCAGGAGTCTGTGGTTTTATCTGAACACTGCTGAGAAATGGAATAGCAGGCACTTGATATGCAGAGTTCTTAGACAGGATAAACATTTAGCAGTCGGATTCCTCTTTTTTGGAGAAAAATTGCCGAAGTAACTGGTTTGTTCAGCCTTTTCTGTGTTGTGTCGATGATCTGTTCATTCTGCACAGTTGTAGCATCACAGTGTAAACTCAGGTCCAAATGGTCTTTCAACCACCTCCTCAAAGCAGAGTTAGATGCTGATGCTGATCAAAACAAGCTGCTCCAAGTTTTGTCTCATCATCCGTTGAAGAACTCCCAGGCCTCAGTACTGCCTGGCAGTCCTCAGGGCAGGATGGTTTCTCTTTACATTCAACTCGTCTCCAGTTCCAACTGCCTTATCTTGCCAGATACTGTTGTGAGAAGCTGTCATAGTTTGAGATGGCCCCCCCAGGAGTCGGGGGGCTCAGAGGTGATTGGGTGCCAGGGCAGTGTTCCCTGGAGAGCCAATCACCACTTATCTTATTCGCTTCTGCTAAAAATGGTATATACACAGCACCGGAAGCTGTTGGCAGTTTTTCTGTTGGTGTCTGCTGTGTGTGGGTGTAGAAGGCCAGGGGGTGGCTGGGCTCCTTCTTTCCCCCCCTCTGGGGGGGAGGGGAGCCCTGTGGCCCCCCAACTCTGCCTAGGCCAGAGTTAGAGACAGCATTGGAGTGAGTGAGTATTTGTGAGGGACGTGACTCACAGCACCTGAGGTGGTAAGAGGAGAGAGGCAGGCCTTGCAGCCAAGCCCTCTTCCCCCCCTTTCTGTGGTTAAGCTGTGGAGGGGGGTCTTTTCTTTCCCTCCACCACAGGAAGGTGGAGGAGAGGCTCGGCATTTGAAGCAGAGCCAAGTGGACGGGCTGATAATGAAGCAGCTCAGCGCTAGGGAGAAGAATCCCAGGTGAAATTGGAGACGGGCCAGAGAGAGAGAGGCTCGGGAGTTGCCCTGCCGAAGCTGACGGGGGCAGCCAAAAACTGACTTGGAGGAATGAAGATTCGAAACACCTACTGTGATAAGCTACACTACAGCAACAGTGGACCAAGGTATGAGACTGAGAGAGAGAGATCATACAGCAGAGACTGACATGGGACCAAGGAGAAAGGACTCAGAGCTACCTTCTTGGACTTTGTGAGGAAGGAAGGACTTCCACAAACAGCTGAAGGTTGATGAGAGAGTGTTCAGGGGGCCCCGAACACTCCCACGAGAGAGGGAGTGCGTTGCATATCACCCTTGAAAGGCTTGTCCTGGACTAAAGTTAAAGGGAGGGGCTTAAAAGACTGATAGAAGTTTTATATATATATATATAGCTGCTTTTAGTTTGTACAGTGTATTTATTTGTGTAAATAAATGTATATACTTCCCCTTCCCCCTACAGAAGCCTCTGGTCTGAAAGTTTCTCTCCAGTGTTGGGATAAATTCTGAGGAGGGGGGAGGGAAGCCTGGAAATTGTATTTTCGATTTTCTAATGTGGCTCAAACTACCACAGAATCCCACCCTGCCCCCTCAGTCCCTGCCCCATGGATGACATGCTGACACAATGATTGATTTCATAAGATTCTGGAAGAGTCTTTTGGACCAAGTGGTTTAAAGATAGCTTGTGATCTGTTCCTCCGTGTACTGGTTTTCTTAGAAGAATCAAAATGCACTACATAGAAAATCTCTTCCAAATTCATGTGCCAATTATGAATGATCCACCTCAGCATGATGGGACTTGTCTTTCTTTAAACAGGGTGTGACATCTCTCACGAAGAATCATCCTAGCAACTTAGAACAAATTTTCTAATGAATAGATTAAAAAAAAAAAAGGAGAACCCAGGAGGCCAAGAAATAAGTGACATTTTCCTTCATGCTTCATGTGCCTTGTTTCCCACTCGTCTATATGTTTCTTCATCTAGAAAAACTGATTTCTGAAGACCTCCTCTCTAAGCTGTGTGAGTTATGAGCTTTCTTTCAGAGCAATGCATGAACTCTTGAGCTGCACCCTACAAGAGATGTGGAAGCAGGAGGTTGAAAAGTGGATTGTGCATTCAACAATAATTGGGATGCCAAATCACATCTCTAGTATTGTTATGGTTGCATCAACTTTTTCATCCTAATTTTTGTCTAAGAATGAGAAGTTACCCTTAGGTGTGTTTTAAGGATACTGAAATTTTAGAAGTATATTTATCTTTGGTATGTCGACATGACTGTTTTCTAATTTTCTATGATACTGGTAGAATTAAATTTCAATTCTAAATACCATAAGGCAAATAATGAATTTTACAGCTCACTGTTTGAGCCAAAAACAGGTTTAAAGGTTTATAAACGGGATGGACATAAAAACTCTTTAAGCTGTGCTATGTGATTTCAGACTACAATTTTTTTCTAGAAATTACCCTTTACCCTTTAAAAATCATGTATGAAGAATATAATTCAATTTATAGGCCTGACAACTTTAACTTTTAAATATTGTTGATATTTCATATCTTTCTTTTTTTTTTCCCTTACACTGTTCTGTACATTTTGAATTGCAGTTTTTACCACTTTGAAACTGTAGTTCTAGTGTTTTTCCTATTGGTGAATATTTACCAGATCCAAAATAAAGAACAGACAATTCGGAAAGTGAAATATATTTCTTGTAAATATATTCTTTTTCACTAGTCTCTTGGTATTACCTACAACAGGGGGAACTTTAAAACAGTCCATACTGATTTATTTTTGAGAAGCTGTTATAAATTATTAATATTTTCAGTATATCTGTAATATGTTTAGTGCTGTTTGCTAAAAGA